AAAACACACACAAGAAATGATGTACAGCTTAGGTCACGCTTTTTTTTCACTTGCTCAACAGATTTTTTACAAGAAAATACCTGCCGGAAAGTGGGGAAAAAAAAGGCAATTCAGATTTTTTTAAATAGTTTTTTCATCCACTCCAAGTAGGCTTGTACAAAAAAAGGAGAGCTTCTAATTGTTTATACATGAAAAACTTGTTTGTTTATTGAACATTGATGCAAAATTATTAATAATGTTTTTTTCTTTAGAAAATGTTTGTTGGTGCAATATGCTATTAGATATTGGGGAAATTAAAAAAATGGTACAAATACAAGGTGATAAAATGGGGTTTGATGTTGCATTCAAATTTATTTCACTCAAATGTTGCGACGTGCATGTACGTGTAGCTGATTTACTCGTCAGGACTAATGCTGTAATATAGTGCCAGGCCAATGAGGTACTGTGCCGTAGTTTAAGATGGACTCCCCACTCAGACATAAGATACTTATGCTGAGCTAACAAGTTCTTGATTTATCCCATAAATGCCGAGGCAGGGTAACAAGAAACATGTTTTAACGTCTTTTGGCCAGAGGGTTGAACCACCACACCGACCTCCTGCTCTATCCACTAGCCCATGGAGGCAGTCTTCTGTTACGGAGTTGTGTGCAGTGTTTTTCACTGACCAAGTATCATGTAACCATCATAGCAGGTCTGTATTTCCAGTCCCATTTCTCTTCCCATGCATGGGATTTTCTCAATATAACAAAAACGTCTGAGAATGAGAATTGCGAAATAAACCAAAAATCTCATTATCCATAGAATACTCAATGTTCTTGATAAACTAGGCATGTAAATTACACATGTAGAAAATACAGAGTTAGGGGTTTTATTTTTTATTCTTGGCTTACCGTATTCGACGTAATAAGCGCCCAGGGCGCTCTCAAAATTAGAAATAGGGGGCTCTTATTAGAATATTACTTTGGTGGAAAAAAACAGAGTTGATAGATAAATTTTGTGGTTTATGGTGACAGCCTGAAATGTTTATGTTTGACAGATATATTTTTCCAGAATTTAATTGCCCATAATTAAGGGTGCCTATAACACACGAGTGCATATACGCGATGAAATAAGTCTTGTGTACATTGATCAATCGGAAGGGGTGCTAATTAGGATTGTTTACTAGCCAATATATCAGCAAATATCGCCATGGGCACTTATTAGAGCGGGGCGCTTATTACGTCGAATACGGTATCCCCTGACCCTAAGAATCTGGATTATTGGGGAAAAATGGTTAAATATTTTCTTAGTACTGCCCAGCCTGATAATCACACTTGAAAAACTAGAGTCATCAGAAGATGACAAAATCCCCCAGGCCCCCACAATAGTAAAATGCCCCACTTTGGTCCCCGGTTAATACATGTACCAAGTTTGCATGAAAAAACCTTCACCAAACAGTTGATGTATGCTCCATGTTCACTCAAATGCTATTTATAGCTTGTTGTTGCGTGAACCCCATACAATGTTTAACATTCTGCAACCTTGAAAGTCTGCAACCCAAGATGGATTTTTTACAAATCCTTGTAATGTGTTTATGTACATCTATAGTAATCAGCTAAGGTCAAAGACTTGCTTAAGTTCAATTGTTTAAACTCGTCATGACAACCTCTACAATCAACCTTTTTCACGCATTTTATCCTTTCGCTGTTGTCAGAAGTCCCCAAAACATTCAGTTGTTGAAATAAACAGTTTAGTTCTCTTTCATATGAATATGCCTGATCATAAACATTCATAACAATTTCTTAAAGGTTTGCTCAATTCCTAAATTTTTTAAGCCTTATCCTACCTTGTCCTTTATGTTTTGTTTGTTTGTTGTTTAACGCCCCACTCAGCAATATTCCAGCTAAATGACAGCGGTCTGTAAATAATCAGGTCTGGACCAGACAATCTAGTGATTGACATCATGAGCATCGATCCACACAATCGGGATACGATGACATGCATCAACCAAGACAGCGAGCCTGACCACCAGATCCCGTTAGTCACCTAGCCTCTTACGACAAGCATAGTCGCCTTTTATGGCAAGAATGGGTTGCTGGAGACCTATTCCACCCCGGATCTTCAAGGGTCTTGTGCTTTATGAATGCTTGGCCATAGTCTCGGCCCGAGACAATGTTACAACGCGTACACTTGAGCAGACTCATGAATATAACTCATGAATATTAATTAGACCGTTCACTACGTTAACAGATCGTTATTATAACAGAAACAAACATATGTTTTCCATGTATATCTAAAATGATATTATTTGTTATTAATTGTCTGGTGAATTAAACAATTTAAATTGAAACAATTCATAATTCATCATATTATGAATACGTAAACTTGTAATGTGTGTGAAAAGTCGTACTAAAATACGCTATTTGAAGGGGGCGTGGCCTAAATGCAAATGTCCGATTGGGATTTTAAATTTTCTGGACCCTTGGTCTCGGGGTATGACCAACTGAAATGAACATATCACTGTACAAATTGTGAACATATCCTTAGTATATAACAATTCTTCTTGGAATTGACACAAATTTGTGACTCTTCTTAAGATATCCGACAAGGAAATTCTAGCATTACAGGTAATCATGCTAAACACATTCTAGAGAAATAATTCCTTTCTCTAAATGTTACGTTATATTCAGCATGATTACCTGTAGATATCTTTGTAGATATTCTTTATCTTGAAAATTACATTCGTGAAACCAGTTGAATAAATTTTACATGGTTCTCTTTTAGCAATAAGTTTCAATAATTTTGCAAGATTTTAAGGACGACTTGGCCAACAGTAACTGATAGTAAGGCATCAAGAGTTATGTCCCTTCGATAAACCTGTCCGTGCTGATGAGACATTAGCTATTATAAAATCATAAACCACACGAGAGCGGCTTTATGAAGTAATTAATTTAACTCGTAAATTTATAGCCGAAATATCAGTGTTTTATATGATTGTAATTACCTTTAAATATACTTCATGGTTGATATAAAATTATCCACGTGTTCGTCCCAACACAACATGACTTACTTCAGTGTTTGCTTGAACACTATGTCGATAACTTTCCTTGCTGTAATTCACTACGACAGGCTCGAAGAGACTTCAAAGGAACAACTTTGAGATCCTGCTGTGAAATCAATTACACCGTTATCAACAGTCTCCAAGTTGAAATGGACATGTTATGCAAGCCATGAACGTGTCGCTCGTGCAGCACGTGCAACCCCAGCGTCACCGCCTCAATGAATAAAATGCGGAGAAAACTTGTAATAGTGATATACTCAAAATCAAAAGTTGCTGGGTCATATTATTAATTGTTATTTTGTGACTTTGTGAAAACAAATAACTTAAAACAGCTCTTTTTTCCCTTGTTGATTAATAGTATACTAGCTTTATATTTGGATGAAGATGCTCCAGATTCCAGAATGGCTCATGGGTGCAGATATTATGTTCTGCTCACAGGTTATTAAGAAATTTGGATTACCCCCCTTCCACCCCACCCCCCCCCCAAAAAAAACCAAAAACCAAACAAAAAACAACAACAAAAAAACAAAAACAACAACAACAAAACACACACACAAACAACAACAACAAACAACAACAAAACAAAACAACAACAACAAAAACAAATCAAAACCCACCACCACCTTCCCCTTTTGAAAACCAAAGGTAGTATGTTGTAGGCTGTAATTTTTTCTGAGGGACGATTTTGATATTATTGACCCCCTCCCCTTTGAAAATGTTGGATGCGCCCTTGCACGATGGCAGACTTTCAACTCTTACCCCTCCACATTTCACAGCTTGCCACATGTTTCGTCTAATTTAGATTCACTTGGAATTTGGCAAAATAGTGTGTTTCGTTTGGCTTTAAAAAGTTAAAACTTCCTTCACTGATTAGTAGCAGCTAGCTATTTCTTTTTCCTAATTCTATTTTCGCTTTTGTACAGCACCGAGACTTCTCACTCATTGTTAAATAAGATAAGAAATATTTTGAGACGGAGACCATGTGATCATGTGACATTCAGTGAAGAGCAGCTTCTCAACAACAAAATACACTAAATCACTACAGATTTGGATTATGTATGTTTCTCCAAAACTTTGGGCTATTTTCTCCAAAGTTTTGTGACAACATCACTAAAATTTGGGGCCATTTTACTCTGCACCCCTTTATTATGCAAACTAGCTAAAAGGTATTTTCTATGATTAAGAAATACGCACCAAATATAGAATTGCGCACGTTTAGTTGTTTTCGTTAATTAACTCTCTCAAAGATAATTTCAATGTGAGACATACACCTTTTTACTATTTATGTTCTTTCTTTATAGCAATGATTTGTTAAAAAATGAGAATACATCCGCAAATAACCAGGTCTGATTCGGACTTATTGGTCCGGGCGATAATAAATAGCCTCCGTGGTATTTCCCTAACAGCACATAACATATGTTTTCACCCCGTCAGAGTACATCATTATAGAAACGGAAATATAAGAACATATAGACACTATTACTTTATTTTTATGAGGAGTATTCATTAGTTTTGTGTACAAAATATAATTTTGCAAATACAAATTGTGTTTATGGAAGAAAAAGTATTGTTCAAATTATCAAATTAGCGTGTTTTTCTTTGATTATTATTATAATTATTATAATCGACTCTTTTATGACATTAAAGATCCATGTTAGTAAGGTTCATTAATGTTATATGTCCGTGTGCGTGGGAAGATAATACTGTTATTTGGTTTACAACCTCCTTCTTAGAACGAGTTCAAAGAAGAAATAACGACCAGATATTCCAGCCGAGTAAATGGAAAACACATGACATTTAAGAAATGTAAATGTAGTTTATAAATACAGCTCTCAGAATTAAATGTATATGCCATTTGAGATAGAGAGCAGACGCGTGTCTGAATGAAGCTTGTCGTTGCTAGGATTGTATAATGACGTCATCCATCTCTGCGCACTTGTTTTGTCGCGTCATATAGCAACAGCATCACCTAACTTCCGCCAAAGGTGAAAACATCTCTTTGGGGGATTGTTTTCTGTTTGGCTCGGTAAGTCATGTTGCATAGCATGTGTTTGTTGTGCTCGATTTTTTAACATTGTATTCATATATCGCAGCTGATGTAACGGACCCATGCAGAACACCAATTGTCATTGAGTCAGAACGTAAACGCACTGTTGTCATGCTGTAGATCTTATTTAGCATTCGAGATTTTCGTCTGCTTATCACGGAGTTCCTTTGATCAAGGGCTTGGATCACACGATCCTCCTTCAAGTGTTCACGTGTACAGGTAAACTAAATGTTCTGCATGATGTAGACGAACGTGTAATTTAGTAATTAATGGAATTACAGAGAAGGAATATATCTGCTTTTATTCATGTATCGACTGGATACAGGGTAGTTTGTCAAATTCTTATTATCATATTTAGGTTTTATCAAATCAAGTTTGTCAATGAATATGTATGTGTCAAGTTGGATGTACAGTGATAGTACATTAATTACAGCAGGGCTATCGCCAGTCGAATTTGGCATGGGGACATGTATCATTATATTATTTATTATTATGAATTTATGTTAAGATGTCAAATTTTGAATAATATTTGGTTAATATTGATCTGACACAGTTCTCTAATAGCATGGTACTCTATGTTATTGCAGTAGTTAATATATTATGGATCGTAATGGAGTACACTTACAAACCTATTGAATATGTAATACGCAAAACGTTTCTTGTTCTTTGTTCAACTTTATGAAACATCAATTCGGATTGATCGATGCTGATTTTCTTTACCAAGTTCGGTAAACAAAGTACCTGTCATTAGCGGCTCAAGGACGGGCAACTCTATATTATCGCGGCACTATTTTGTGTGGTGTGATACTTGTGGAATATGTGCTTTACATCACTTACCGTTAAGAATTATGCATGATAAGTTTGCATATGACCTAGGTTGGGTCAAGGGACATCGTCCAAACAAATGAGTTCTTTTTTAACCAATTTTGAATTGAGGTAGGGTAATTCCACATCAAAACATTCCAGAAACTGTCTTTAAAAAGTTAACACATATAGTTACGAGCAGCCGTGATATACAGCAATGAATCTTGTATTCTGTCAAGCGATGAAATATCATGCTTAGATTTGCATAAGTAAACAGTCGATGGGGTGTGGATTACGAGATTAACCAAAACGCAATAATATAGAGCTCGCGATAATATAGAGTCATACTATAGGCTTTTGTTTCTGAGATATTCTACAATGTATGAAATCATGCCATGTTTATGACATATCTATTCTGTATTAGATTCATAATGGGGAAGAAGGTGAAAGAAGACAAGAAAGCTCCTCCAGAGGATGTGGTAAGTAAAAACATATGCTTTGCTCAAACTTATGTAGTAAGGTTGTGTGGGTCTGATTGGACGAGTTTAAGAATTAGGATCAGCTTACATAATTTTCTTTCAGATTATTTGGAATTCATTTCCCTGAACATAGCATATAGAATATTAACATTACACTCACTGACACAAGTTTTTTATTTGAACCATCTTTTGATTGAACCATATGTGCTAAAATATCAATTTGAAATATTTTACCCACCTGTGTGGTCCCAAATTATTTGCCTTTAGGGAACGGTCATTTATTATAGGTGGAGGGTTGTGGAGGGGATGAAGGGGATGAAGGGGTTGTGTCCGAGGGTATCAGGGGAGGGTCACCAAGAATATGACAGTCTCTGGGGGTAGGGTAATAAAAAATAATACATTTTGTGGAGGGTCAGGTACAAAATGGATATCATATAATAAAATATAAAGTGCTTTTGCATTTTGTAATTTCAGGGAGGGTCATGAAAAAAAATGTACAAGGACAGGGGAGGGTCATCCAAGTATATGACAAGCATTAGGGGAGGGTCATTATTTTCGGTACATTAGAGCATCAAGAAGCTCTGACCCACCCAACCCGATAATAAATGACCGATCCCTTAGTATATTGATAATTATAAGCAACATATTATCCTAAAATGTGTACTTCCTGTTTAGTTTGACACTATTCTGGTGGAGAGCCGACAGGCGGCTACAGTTGTGTTGATGCTCAACAGTCCGGAGGAAGATGTACAGTCTAAAGCATGCGAAGCCATCTACAAGTTCGTTAATAAATGTAAGATATTTCAGCAGAACACCAGAATAGTGAACATATTCTTTTATTGATCTCTTAAAGTAGAGGAATCAAAATATTGCTTTGAGATAACCAGTCTTGAGGAGAAGCGATGGTGAAGGTTATGTTTGGACTCTGAATCTGATAACTGGGTTTGTGATAAATGAAGCTTGCACTAACTCACCTTGTACATCTAGAATCTGAACCTGATGATTTTTTAATGAAATAAGAAGTTTTGAGCATGGATCTTTAGACATCTGAAGGGCTTATTTGAAAATGTGTAGACATAAATGACTGCAGGTATTGCATTATGTTTGGCAGGTATATACAGTGATGTGTTTGACAGATACAGCACTTTGTTGGGAAGGTATTACACTATGTTTGACAGATATAACACTTTGTTCTGGAAGGTATTGCACTATGTTTGACAGATATAGCACTTTGTTCTGAAAGGTAACACACTATGCGTTACAGATATAGCACTTTATTCTGGAAGGTAACACACTATGTTTGACAGATGCAGCACTTTGTTCTGGAAGGTATTGCGTTATGTTTGACAGATACAGCACTTTGTCGGGAAGGTATTGCACTGTGTTTGACAGATATAGCACTTTGTCGGGAAGGTATATCACTGTGTTTGACAGATACAGCACTTTGTCGGGAAGGTATTGCACTGTGTTTGACAGATATAGCACTTTGTCGGGAAGGTATATCACTGTGTTTGACAGATACAGCACTTTGTTTGGGAAGGTAACGCACTGTGTTTGACAGATATAGCACTGTGTTCTGGAAGGTATAGCACTGTGTTTGACAGATATAGCACTGTGTTCTGGAAGGTATAGCACTGTGTTTATTTATTTAGGTGAAGAGAACAAGAAGACATTACTAGACCTTAATGCAATTGACCCGCTGCTGAGACTGGTACAAGGAGAGGACAAAACTGTCAGGCGCAATGCTTGCATGGCTCTCGGGGTCATGTGTGCACATCGTAAGTTAGTAGCATAGATGAATATCTTAAACATGTTAAAGTAAATTTGTTAATTTATTAGCACACCTATGCAACCACAAAGGTTTTTGTCTTAGATGTATTGTTGTATCATTTAAATAGTTAAGTTGCCTTGACTAAGCACATAATTATTTAGGGTTAATCATGAGAGTAAAAACGGGAGATAAACAAACTTCAAAATAGAACTAGGTTATATGTAGATTTAACCACGCTGGATTGAATTTAGAACTGAACACAACATTGTGAAAATGAGATTGAGAAAGACAGATAATCCATAATTCAGAGTTATAATTAGGTTATTCTATATATTACCCATGATCAACATGAAGCTTAGATTATGATGCTGTTCTAAAATTACTGAAAATAATTGCACCAATATCTTTGCTCCTTTGGCTAATATTTGTATGTCATGTCCCTCAACTCTGAAACTATTTTCCTTCAGCTGACGTGAGGAAACTATTACGAAAGAGAGATGATTCTATCGCTGCTTTTGTGAACCTCTTGCAACCTGAAGGTAAGACAGGATGTATAGAACAGATATCTGGCGATGTGAAATAGTGGTTAGGACACACTCTACAACTGACCCTTCAATTCTTTGTTCCTGAATTTGTTTTGGAATGGAAGTTTAGCATCTGTGCTTGAAGTGTGTAGTATTTTAGGACCGGTGTCAATAGCTGATTTTGTTACGGCCACTGTGATAGATTGATAGCAGTCTTGAATCAGTAAGTTATACAATTTAGACTATAACTTGAAATACTAAATATTCTTGAAGCAGATACTTTGCTGTGAGTCAGCCTGTATAAGTGCTGTCCTGTCTCTCCCCAGAGGACACCGTTGTCCACGAGTTCTCCGCCCTGGCTCTGTCCTACCTGGCCACAGAGTTCTCCACAAAGGTCTCCATATTCGAGAACAACGGCATCGAACCCCTCGTCAAGTGTCTATCCTCCACAGATCCTGATGTCCAGAAAAATGCCATTGAAGCTCTTGCCCAGATGTTACTTGTTAGTATTCTGTAATTAAAGTGTTCTGTGATGGAAGATTTTGTGATTAGTATATTGTCTTTTGTCTGGTCCAGACTAAATTATTTACCGACTGCCATCATATAGCTGGAATATTGCGGAGTGAGGCGTAAAACAACAAACCAACAACAACAACAGCCAACAATAACTTATGCAGGGTTCTACACATTTGCCTTGACCTTATTACCATCTAAAAGGTGACTATGCTTGTCGTAAGAGGCGACTAACGGGATCAGGTGGTCAGGCTCGCTGACTTGGTTGATGCATGTCATCGATCCCAATTAATCACTGGATTGTCTGGTCCAGACTCGATTATTTACAGAACGCCGTCATATAGTTGGAATATTGCTGAGTGCAGTGTTAAACAACAAACCAAACCATAAATCTTTGGAGTGGAAGCATCTGATCCATACCCTGGTTAATCCAGGTCCTTTACTAGATTGCTCAGTTATGTTTCTTCCAATTTCTACCTGTATCCTGTTTAGGCCATGTTTTATACATATTCTGACTTGTGCGTTGTGGTTTTCCCGAAAATTGAGTTGACATATCAGGGACTATAAATTTGAAGAAGACATTATAAGAATTTGACACATCCAGTATGGAACTTTCAGGTTAAAATAGTGATAGTGTTGGGGCTGGAATGTGAGTTCAACACAACAGGATTCGATCCATCCCATCTGAGTTCAGCACAACTGGGTGCGACTAATTAAAGAATTGAATGGCCTGTTTATCACTTGTTTGACTTGTACTTACTTTGCATATAGTTTTTATTTGCTATTATTGATATGTAGTGTTAATTATTACTGACTCTCCCTGGTGTATGTAGGACTACCAGACACGAGGTGCCTTGCGGGAGTATGATGGCCTCCAGCCCATGCTAGACCTCCTCAAGTCCGAGTACGCCATCATCCAGAAGCTGTCCCTCCTGTCTCTAGATCGGGCTTCACAGGATGGTGGGTCCACTATGTCTGCTTCTTACAATATGTCATGAATATTGAATAATTTATCAGCCAGAGAACCTGCTGGAAAAATGAAAGCAATTTCTGTTGTATAAGACCTAAACACTACAACCCTTACATGGGGAATGTTGACCGGTAAGGTCTTATGTGGGCTTCTATTTGTAGCGGAAAATCGAGCCTCATTGAGAGAGCTGGAGGCGATCTCCCACCTGATCAAGTTCTTGGCCCACCCGGAGTGGAACGATCTGCATGTGATGGCGGTGATGGTGTTGTCTAACCTGCTGGAGGATGTGGAGAGTCTGGAGGTAGGTCATCACTCGCCTCATCCAACCTTCCAATTTGTTACTTGGAGTGAAACACACAAGCCAAACCTATGGTGTAGCCTCAAGGTTAAAGCATTTACTTTTATGCCTAAGGCCCTGGTTTGAATCCCCAAATGGAAACAATATGTGAATCACATTTCTGGTGTCCCCACTATGATATTGCTGTAATAATGCTGAGAGTGGTGTAAAACAATACTCACTGACTCACACAAATGAGGCCAAGTCCCCGGTTTGAATTACCCCTATTGGTTTAATGTTTGAAGCCCAATGTTGGAGTACTTTGTAATATGTTCTGTTGCTGGAAGAAAATTAATACCTCTGTCACATACATGATGTTTTCTCTCTGTTATTTGTGTAAATTTAACATAAATGGTCCATAAAAACAGAGCTGATTGCTTTAAAGATGAAAATCTAACTGATTAATAATTAAATGACTAGATTTATTTTGAAAGCCTTTAATATAAATTTCATACTCTGTGGGTTGCTGTTTACTCTTCATTTTTAACCCTCACATACATTAAAAAGGATATCTGTCTAAAGGATTTGTTAGGTTTTGCAACGCGTTTTAGTGATGTACAATTGTTAATGCTATGAATGTGTCTTGGTATCCAGCAAATCAAAGAGACTGGTGGTCTGAAGAGGCTGGTGGCAATCATCACTGACCAACCCCCTGTGGAGGAGGAGACCAAGGGGGGCAAGGCGGACAAAAAGGCAGGGTCGCGCGCTGGCAAGAAGAGTGCCAAGGGAGAGGGTCAGTTTCCTTTATGTCTGTCACAATGTAATGCAAGCACACTTTGGCATCACTTGTATATCGATACAATTGTTCTCTTCCATCAATATGTGAGTACTCATGATTGATTTGAACATCACTTAAAGAGACCATATTATTGTGATAATCCACTGTGGTGCGTTCATGAAAACATGTTATTATTGTAGAAATTTGTGGCTGAAGATTGATGGATTGGAATGTTTTAAAGAAAAACATTTTACCAAAAAAATGTTGAAAAAATGTGAAAAGTAAAATTATTGACTGTTTCAGTTTTTCCTCATCAAAACATTGTCTTCACATTCACTTTTGCCTTCAGTAGCAAACATTTTAGAAAATTAGTGAAATATATTCATCCTAATGTTGTAAAAATTGCAGTGATGTTTTATGTATTCCATTGTCAATCTATCCATTCTGCAATGCAGCCAAGAAGGTGATCGAAGAGAAGGATGAACAGTCCCCTGGAGGAGATTCCATCATCCCCACCCTCCCCGATGTCAAGATGAGTGCCGCTCGAGCCATCGCTCGGTCAGCACGCAGTGGTCAGTATACATCTATATCACATTGTTTGAATGAATGTCTGTGACTGACTGTGTGTTATCATGTCCTGTTTGTGTTGACTTATGTCATCATGCCCTGATGGTGTGGACTGTGTGTCATCATGCCCTGATGGTGTGGACTGCATGTCATCATGCCCTGATTGTGTAGACTGTGTGTCATCATGCCCTGATGGTGTGGACTGTGTGTCATCATGCCCTGATGGTGTGGACTGTGTGTCATCATGCCCTGATGGTGTGGACTGTGTGTCATCATGCCCTGATGGTGTGGACTGTGTGTCATGCCCTGATGGTGTGGACTGTGTGTCATCATGCCCTGATGGTGTGGACTGTGTGTCATCATGCCCTGATGGTGTGGACTGTGTGTCATGCCCTGATGGTGTGGACTGTGTGTCATCATGCCCTGATGGTGTGGACTGTGTGTCATGCCCTGATGGTGTGGACTGTGTGTCATCATGCCCTGATGGTGTGGACTGTGTGTCATGCCCTGATGGTGTGGACTGTGTGTCATCATGCCCTGATGGTGTAGACTGTGTGTCATCATGCCCTGATGGTGTGGACTGAGTGTCATCATGCCCTGATGATGTGGACTGTGTGATCATGCCCTGATGGTGTGGACTGTGTGTCATCATGCCCTGATGGTGTGGACTGTGTGTCATCATGCCCTGATGGTGTTGACCTTGTGTCATCATGCCCTGATGGTGTGGACTGTGTGTCATCATGCCCTGATGGTGGAGACTGTGTGTGATCATGCCCTGATGGTGTGGACTGCGTGTCATCATGCCCTGATGGTGTGGACTGCATGTCATCATGCCTTGATGGTGTGGACTGCGTGTGATCATGCCCTGATGGTGTGGACCTTGTGTCATCATGCCCTGATGGTGTGGACTGTGTGTCATCATGCCCTGATTGTGTGGACTGCATATCATCATGCCCTGATGGTGTGGACTGTGTGTCATCATGCCCTGATGGTGTGGACTGCATGTCATCATGCCCTGATGGTGTTGACCTTGTGTCATCATGCCCTGATGGTGTGGACTGTGTGTCATCATGCCCTGATGGTGGAGACTGTGTGTGATCATGCCCTGATGGTGTGGACTGTGTGTCATCATGCCCTGATGGTGTGGACTGCATGTCATCATGCCTTGATGGTGTGGACTGCGTGTGATCATGCCCTGATGGTGTGGACCTTGTGTCATCATGCCCTGATGGTGTGGACTGTGTGTCATCATGCCCTGATTGTGTGGACTGCATATCATCATGCCCTGATGGTGTGGACTGCATATCATCATGCCCTGATGGTGTGGACTGTGTGTCATCATGCCCTGATGGTGTGGACTGTGTGTCATCATGCCCTGATGCTGTGGACTGCATGTCATCATGCCCTGATGGTGTGGACTGCATGTCATCATGCCCTGATGGTGTGGACTGTGTGTCATCATGCCCTGATGGTGTGGACTGTGTGTCATCATGCCCTGATGGTGTGGACCTTGTGTCATCATGCCCTGATGGTGTGGACTGTGTGTCATCATGCCCTGATGGTGTGGACGTTGCTTCCAGCGTGACTGGAGTGTATGTCATCCTTTTAGCACTAAGACCACTTTGTGGAACAAGGCCAGGTCTCCTTTCACAGACTGTTGTGATGTAGTGTCACATATGCACTCTCACTTTGCTGTGGGGGAGAGATTCTCACATATATTATTCATCATATAGCTAGTTCCTACATAACGGCCTGCTTCCTCCCTTTTTCAGTGGAGAACCGTAAGATCCTACACGAGCAGGAGGCTGAGAAGATGTTGATTCATCTGCTGTCTCATGAGTCAGTGGACGTACAGAGCGCAGCAGCCCAGGCTCTCGGCATCATGTGTGAGAACCTCAGCAGCAGAGACTCCATCCGCGAGTGGGGTCAGTCACTTGTTACAGTTTATTATGACATATGGCTACTGACACTTTAAAACATAACTTCAGTATAATTTTGTTTTAGTTCTATTACTTTACCACTTTATGTTGGTTCACATAACTGCTTAGTGCGACAAGGTTTAACTTTGGTCAGGCCATTTCAAATATTCCATCATTAAAGTTTTTTTCTGTCATTCAGATATGTGTACCGGTACATTGATCGTTACTAGATGATACTGTTAATTTTGCTGTTGTATCTGTCCATGAATAGTATTAAAGGTTTTGGGAATAGTCACTCCCAATGGTTGTTTGTATTAGTTGATGCCTGAAGGTATTTATTCTTGTTACAGAGGGTCTAGCACCTCTGATCAGGCTGCTCAACTCGGAGAGTGGAGACGTGAAGGAATCTGTGACACTAGCCCTCACCAACCTCACCACAGCCAACTCCACAAACTGCAAGTCAGTTGTTGCACAATGTTCTTTTTACATCGTAGCAGACAGTAATAGTGATTAATTGGAATCTCAACTGTGTGTCTTTTTATATTTAACATATCAACACAAGTCGATAAAAGTTGCCGCAGAGTTTTAAACTTTTGTTAATGAGTGTCTTCATGAGGATGGAATTCTATTTATCATCCAAATCGTTCTTCCAACTTTTTCAGTTTGTAAACAGCAATAACCAGCGTCTTTAGTCTAAAATGTACAGTGAACCAGCCTCAGTGGTAGAGACCCATGCTTGCCGTAAAAGGTGACTATGCTTGTCGTAAGAGGTGACTACAAGATCGGGTGGTCAGGCTCGCTGACTTGGTTGATGCATGTCATCACATCTCAATTGATGGAATTTTGCTAAGTGTGGCTTTAAACAACAAGCAAACAAAGAGATTACTGATTGAGATCTCATGGAGGCTGATGATGTTGCAGTGGTCTTCTAAACTTTGAGATGCAGTTCCATTATAGCCATATCTCCTAGGATATCACGCAAACGATATCGTCTGTCTAAACCAGTTTTGGACGATAACATGATGTATTGGTCCAGCATCTGGCACCTTATGCTTATCATAATAGATGACTAAATGAGGATTTGTTGGTCACAATGTGTGCTGATAGTGTGTCATCATACTCTCATGCAGTCAACCACTGGTTTGTCTGGCTCAGCTAATTATTTACACCTGCTGTGATATAGCTGGAATATTGCTGGCTGCAGAGTAAACCATTCATTGTATCTTTTCTTCAGATTTCATTGTCATCCGCAATCTTGTTAGCCCAGTTGATGGTGTGACAGCTTGTCATGGAGCTGATCAGAGTTTGATTCACTACATGAAATGATTGTTGAAACATGATGAAAGACATCTTCCCAAGGCAAGGGAGTTAACTGACAATAAAGGCCGGAATATCTGAGTTATATTATGGCTGAACTAACAAGTCTATACATAGTCAATTAAAAAATTGTTTAACAAATTTGACATCTGATTCGTAAACAACATGGTGACTGCCATGCAGATTTTGGACGTTTGCAGGATTTGCAAAGCATGTGTATCGCCAATTGGGCGTTGACAGATATTTTCCAAATCATTTCATTTTTTTTATCAATGTGCTTAAGTGATTTAATGCACAATGAGGTAAGACCTGTTTTAGTACAATATAGATCTTGATTACCGATCAGATCGTCTTGACTGGGTGCCGTCATTTTCTTTGAAGCAAATGCAAGTGAAAGGAGGGGTTGAATCTGATTGGTCGATAGGAGGGACAGCCAGTGGTGGTGGTACGAACAAACCACAACATTCCAGCCTAGTTTGACATGAGTGGAAACTAGACTTCTATAGTCAGTTAAGTCCCTTGCCTTGGCAAGATGGATGACATGAGTGGGAACTGGACTTCTATAGTCAGTTAAGTCCCTTGCCTTGGCAAGATGGATGACATGAGTGGAAACTGGACTTCTATAGTCAGTTAAGTCCCTTGCCTTGGCAAGATGGATGACATGAGTGGAAACTGGACTTCTATAGTCAGTTAAGTCCCTTGCCTTGGCAAGATGGATGACATGAGTGGAAACTGGACTTCTATAGTCAGTTAAGTCCCTTGCCTTGGCAAGATGGATGACATGAGTGGAAACTAGACTTCTATAGTCAGTTAAGTCCCTTGCCTTGGCAAGATGGATGACATGAGTGGAAACTAGACTTCTATAGTCAGTTAAGTCCCTTGCCTTGGCAAGATGGATGACATGAGTGGAAACTAGACTTCTATAGTCAGTTAACTCCCTTGCATTGGCAAGATGGATGACATGAGTGGAAACTGGACTTCTATAGTCAGTTAAGTCCCTTGCCTTGGCAAGATGGATGACATGAGTGGAAACTAGACTTCTATAGTCAGTTAAGTCCCTTGCCTTGGCAAGATGGATGACATGAGTGGAAACTAGACTTCTATAGTCAGTTAAGTCCCTTGCCTTGGCAAGATGGATGACATGAGTGGAAACTGGACTTCTATAGTCAGTTAAGTCCCTTGACTTGGCAAGATGGATGACAGATCACTGAGATAAGGTTTGTGTAACATAACCAGTTTATGATTGTCTATACCATGTATGTGATATATGTGTTCCAGTGAGATGATGAACCTGAATGGCCTTGACCCACTGATCCAGCTGTTGGCAGACAGTCGGGAGGAGGCTGTAGCCAACACCGCCAGCGTCCTCACCAACCTGGCGCAGGAGGAGGTGCTGCGTATAGAGTGTCTCAACCGCGCTGTCGTCTCTTCCCTCATAGACCCTCTCAAGACCAGGTAGGGGATACACTCCATGAGCTTTACAGACTTCCTCCAGGGTAGACAACAACCTCCGTGGTCTTGTAGATTGAGCATCTGCCTTGAGAGTGGAAGGTTGATTTTTCGATGCCCAGCCGCATCATACCAAAAAACAGAAACAGATGGTACTTGTTGTTACCCTGCCTGACACTCAGCACTAAGTGGATAACACAAGGACTGGTCTGCTCAGCATCATTATACTGTGTCTGAGTGGTGTATTCATGTTTAACTGTGGCATGGTATCTCAATGGGCTAGCACTATAAAGCTTGCATTAGTCTGGACAGTGACAGAAACTGAAAGTTTAAGTCCACTAGTCCTTATAATGATAACATACAGCGAAGCCCTTAACAAGGGTAAATTTCTACTAGTCCTTTGTCAACGGTTGGACAGTTTGGCAAGGACTAAAGGACTAGTGCCAATTTCTAACCCTGCATGAATGTTATGTTACATCATCTCCTTAAAATTATGAATCTTTAATATGTTGCATGGATGAACCCAACCTTGGTGTCTCTTAGAATAATGTTCAGTTATTATTTTATCAAAAAACCAATGTTTTACATTGCAAACCATTTACCCTTGTGTGAACATATTTTCAAATACAGTAAACTACGGTTATAACAAACTCAAAGGGACCATTAATTTTAGTTTGTTATAACCGTAGTTCGTTATAAGCATATATACAGCATAACTACAGCAAATAGTCGGGACAAAAAAGCAAGTTCGCTATATCCGTCAGTTTGTTATAAGCGTGTTCGTTATAAACGTAGTTTACTGTAACTTAATATATAATGTTGCAAATATTCCCGAAAATAATGAGGTGAGCATCAGGTCTACATGACTATTTTTTCTGAAAAAAAGAAGAGAAAAAGTGAATTTTGAGAGATTGCTATTATTCATCATTTCAGCAACACCAATGTCCAGAGTAAAGCAGCTCTCGCTTTAGCAGCCTTTGTGTGTGATGCTGATGCCAGGACAGAGGTGAGACGTCCAGCCTTGTCTCACCAGCACTGCATATAAGCACTTGTCTGCTTCACTGGGGCTTCCAGGGGCACTTCTGTTGCCACTTGTCAGTATTATCTTGTCATATATTACACAGAGCCTGTGAACCCGGCGAGCATTCCGGGTTATGATTGGTCCCCAGCAATCTATGCTGGGTGTAAGAGGCGACCTAATGGATCGGGTGGTCAGGCGCGGTGACTTGGTTGATTGTGTGTCATTGTACCACAACAGCATGGATTGTTTGTTATATCAGTCACTGGATTGTCTGGTCCAGACTTTGTTTATTTACAGACAGCTGTCCCATAGCTGGAATAGAGCTGAGTGTGGATTAAACAACAAACAGCGTGTGAACGCATTTGTGCAATGTGCAGAGTTCTGTCCCTTTATCTTAGTTGATGTGAATCCGAGATTTTACTGGTGATTCATTCATTGTATATTGCAGTGTTTACTGGTGACTGGTAAACTTTGCTTCATCTAAATCTGTGCAGTTAGGTCCTAATACTTACAGGTGTGTTCTTTGTTTCTTCAAGCTACGTGTGTCCGGTGGAGTGGAGCCCTTGATTGTTCTGTTGCATTCTGGGAATGATGAAGTGCGGAGAAACACGTCCTGGGCCATCACAGTTTGTGGTGTGGATGAACCTACTGCGACAGAAATATGTAAACTTGGGTGAGATATGTGAATATGATTCAATAGGTTACTGCTTTCCTTGTTAGCTGTTAAAAGATGTATATCATAATCAAGTTTCATTGAAAAAAAATATAGCCAACAGACATTGGCCAACATGCCAAAAGCAATCTTTTACTAAGAGTGTTATATCTCCATATTTGACAAGACTTACTGTAGCTGTAGCGCTAAGATCATTTTAGGAGTGGGATGCTGATCAAATAATCTTGTTAAGGTATTGTCAAAGATATATCTTCTTTTAAATAAAAAAGCTTTAGAGCTTCACACAAGATGGCTATGATTAGCCTAAAATATTTTATAGTTTGATGTTTTTAGAAAAAAAATAGATATTGCCATGGAGCCTTCAATTAAGAATCCTGCTGTGAAATAGCATCATTTTCATGTTTCCAATAGAAGACTTGTGTTAATCATTATATTGTTGTGTACCTTATATTGTTAACATGTTGAACAATCGTTGACCAGTCCATATATAATCCTCGTAATTAACTATCCTGGAAAGACTTTTTGATGTTCCCTTACAGATTCGGACAACCCCAAAATAATGAATAATGGGAAAATTATTTACTGAAAAGCAATATTTTTTCCTTTGCAATAATTGATCCACACAAAAGGTAAAACCGAAAGACCAGTGTCACAAGCTTAACTAACACCACTCGTAGACAACATTCTCAGAATATCTGCTCAAACTTCTGAAATGTCTTATCTAGATTATGCCCACCTTCTGACCAGCGCCTGTTCCACAAAACAATCCCATACTTTAACTTAGGCTTATGATAGTGCGAAAATCACTTTGTGGTATGGGGACCCTGAATTCTTAAAAAGAGACCTGTAACCTGTGTTGAACACGCCTTCTATGCCAGACAGTTGTAGATATATGTGGGTGTGTTCCAGTGGTCTGGAAGTCCTGCAGCAGATTCAGATGTCCAGCACGCGACGCAGTCCCTTCGCAGATGCCGCACTCGAGAGACTGCTCGACAGCAACCTGTCCGCGAAATACGCCCTCTCGGGACATCTAGGTACACATCCCTGTCACAGACACCTGGAAGATGTTATGTCTTACATCAACCCCATTTTGACTAGTCATTAGTAGGTGAACTGGATGTGGGTCAGATTATATCCAGTAATGATGAGAAGTCAGTAACTCTTGTTGCTATAGATGCTCTGTTGTGTTTCTCTGTATTACAGACACTATTGCCTAATATATGATTTTGTTCTCTATCATTAGTCTTTATACTTTTATTATTATTATGATTTCAAAAAATGTTTTAATCGACACGGAAAATATATTTACTTAGTCAGATATTATATCTTGTTGGTTCTCAATAACTATTTATCACTGTTCAAAATGTGTATGACCGAAGTGGCAAAATTCTTCTATTTTTTTGTTGAGAATATGTAATCATACTGTCTTGTTAGGTTGTTCAGAAGAATGTTTGTGGAACTAGTTATAATCCCATTTCCACATCTACCAGCTTAATATGTATCTGGAATTTACTGGATTCAGTTTAGAAATACACGTGTGGGGATTCTGGGTAAGTCCCATGCCACCTCTGCCTGTCATAAGAGGCGATCCTATGGATTAAGGTAGGCGATCTGGTTGATTGGGGGTCGGCGTTCCGGTTGATTGGGGGTCATCATACCTGGACCTTGTGGATTGTTATCACAATGTCAATAACTAGATTGTCTGGTCCAGAGTTGATTATTTCCAGCTGCGGTCATATAGCTGGAATATTGCTGAGTGTGGCGTTAAACAGACAAACAAAGTCCAGAAATATCCCACTGGAGAATGATCTTTCACGACATGTCCTATGTCTGTAGGTAGTGGGAACCTGATAGAAGATGGGTTCTTTGATGCCGGTCAGCTGAAGGCAGGCACCAAGTTCCTGTCCCTGGAAGACTTCTGCAAACAGGAGATGAATGACAAGAGACCAACGCTGCTCATCAACTCTAAACAAGAGTGAGTATACACCCTGGTGGTTGTACAAAGACACATTCTATAGAGAATGGCAGACAAGATGACTCCTTGATCTGAATGTTGTGTATTAAGCTAGGTTCATCTGAATCTTAGATAATCAGTCACATATTTTAGGAAACACATGCATATTGAGAGAAATAGACGATACACAGACTTTATAATATTGACAGTGCCTGATGTACAACAAAACATAGAGATTCAGACTCACCAGACACCAGAATATAGTCCTACATATACATGCACATTTCAACATGCAGAGACACTCTACTTCCAATATACGAACATGTAAGGAAGCACAAATGTTATAGTTTTATAAATGTTCAATTGTAGTTGGTTTATTAATGGGATAATAGTTTCAAGGTGTTGTGTGATAATATCTTTGTTTGTTTGTCTTAGATCCTGATACTGTCGTCAAGCACATTCCTATAGTAGTATATTAAAGCAGTTGTAATTCATAAATTGTGTCTACTTTGTGATTTAATTTTGATGAGATTCTAACCCCTTCCTCCCCTACTTTGGCATTTTTAATATTTTCTGTTCACATTTTCCTATGAATGTTAGTCTTTAAGGATTTATTTAGTTGGTTCAAGGTAAGCTAAATATTTATTCATTATTTTTTCCTGGTTAAGAAGGGTACGCATTTGAAATAATCTTAAAAAGTTTGTGGCATTATACCTCATAGGATTAGACTGCCATTAGCCTAGCAGTGACCTGGCAACAACAGACATCACCATAGCAGAAGATAAAGTCAGTGGTTATAGTCGACCACAGGTGATCTAACAAATAGTATATCTAAAGTGTGTGTTAAACTTTACATGTATACATCTCAGGAAAGTTGAGGTGAAAGAAAGTCCACCTCCACCACCTTCATCAGAACCTGATTCAGAGACAGACTCTCAACAATCACCCGGACACGGGAATAGGCGGTTGTCATGGAAATCCATTCTAAAGAAAAAGTATTGAGAATAGACAATAGCAAGATAGATAGAAGCTTCTTTTCTGACAGAAATGTTAACCACTCTTCCCCTGATCTTCCATCTGTCTGTAAATGATACAGAGGTAATGGAGGAGAAGGGTTAAGCTGCATCCATTGCAGCATCTCTGTATAGACTAGAGTCAGGGGGATGCGCCATCAGAAAGGAGAAAAGCTTTTTGCTTTTTTCATACTGTTTCCTTTCCTGAGATCCTAGCGAGCTGCCTTGCAGGGTGATTTTTCCATCACCTGTGAATCTTGACATTTTCACTTTTTCTCAGAACCAGCTTGGCTTTATTAGGGTTGCTGTTTGTAAACATCCATTTAAATCGAAAAATGAAATAACAAATAAACATGTAATGTAAAAACCTTTTTAAGATTTTCCTTTCTCTGCAACATTCCTTTGTTCAATAAGGTGATCTTTTGACCTCATCCTTCCATCAGAATGAATATCATAAGCAAAGATAGTTCCTGCTGTTTGTTTACTGTATTGTAGTTAAACATATGCAAGTCAATATGAAGTCTTGTGTCAAAACCTAACTGTCATCTCTCTGAGGGCATGGGTGGCCGAGTCGTCCTAGGCGCCTAGAGTTGCGTCCCTTGGGCACATCAGGAACCTATGATTGTGGGTTCAAATCCCACTTCGCCCTGATTATGTTTCTAGGTTTGCTTGTGTGTTTCACCAAAGTGGTAAGCATCTAATACCTGCAGATAACTGGAACACTGTTGAGGCCGGGGATAAACCCAACTACTCACTCACTATCATCTCTCTGCAGATAATGTATAGGTCCTACTTCAGCTTTGCTCTTTGTTAGCAGCAGTATAATGGTATTGCTCAGCGATATTGTTTTTCTTCTGTAACAATCAGAGCTCCAGATAAGCTGCGTATCTGTGTAAAATACGCATCAGAAATACAGAAATACGCAGTAAAATAAAATCCAAGCGTATCAAATACGCAATGAACATTACAGATACGCTACAAAAATAAAACTTGTGCGTATCATCAAAATATTGTGAAGTAACCCTGCGTATTCGATTAGCAAATCAGCAACTTATTTCGAAATTATAAACGGGCATTCCGTCAACCTTGCTAAACTCCACGATGACAGTTACATCATGATCATTTGCCATCACACTTTCTTGTGTAAAAACTAGTGGGTAACAGAAATTTGAATACCCAGATAGAATTACTGATACCCAATGATTTTAAAATTCATGTGTAAAATACCCACAACACCAAAAGCTTATCTGGAGCTCTGAACAATGAAAGTAAAAAGTCAGGTGATTTTCAGAACAAATCCTAGATAGATGTATTTGACATTGGTATAGTGTTAGAGTCAGTAGACGACTAATCTAGCAAGGATAGTCCGAAGAACGTAGTAAATTTATTCATAGATTAGAATTAACTTTGTATACTTGTATTTGGTTTAGATAAATTAGAAAATCATGATACAAAGCTGTTTTTATCATATAGTTTATTAAATGATTTTTGGTAACTTCTTCACTATAATTTTCATATTATGTAAGCAATGCTGAATTAATGTTGTTCAGAAAGTGTAATTAAAAGTAGAATGGAGTGTATCCTCATGTAACCTGTTGACTGTCCACGTTGTGTACCTAGGCCGTCCCCTCCCCCCAGGCAGGAGGATAATGAAGCCCTGAAGGCTGACAGCTCCAAGACAAGCGTCTCTGGGAAGTCATCTCGAACTGGGCGAGAAACTAAATCGTGAGTTGCTATCATTATTCTAAAAGTCATATATACAGTGTGCAAGAACTTTTTGGACTGTCAAATTACTGCTTGGATTCAGAAGATTGTTTTCTTCATCTTCTCAGTTTAATGTGTCTATTATTGTACAGTAGTTGAAAATATTGTTATATTTTACTAATTAATCAGTGCCCTGTAAGGGTCACTGTTTACTGTGTTCGAGCTCTGCCACCACTGCAATTGGTTTTCTTAACCATGCACTTATGACAGATGTTAGATACTTCATACCTGATATAACTCCTATTTTACCCTGGAGAATCTTTCTGATATATGATTGGATGGCATTAAAGGTCAAGGTCACTCAATATGAACTAGGTGTGCAAAGATTGTGTAGAAGATAACTTGAGTATTTATGAATGGAACTTAATGTATATGATCTCTAAGGTAGGGTCTTGATTGTATTAACATTTGGTTGACCTCCATATGAGGTCAAGGTCACCAGAGGTCGAATTATGGAACATGGTTTAAATTTCATGAAATTTCAAATGAATTCATGATAAATCTAAGCATTTTCCAATCACTTATAATTGACTCTCAATAATTAACTCAAAACCTATCATATGACATGGTTGTGTCAAATGTCAAGGTAACTTTCAAGGTCGTTCACTCATGAAATGACTTGTAAAAAGTTTCATTTAGGAAGTATGAGCAGTTTGATATGTACACTACATATTTGTAACACCATCTAAGTTAAAAAATGTAACATTCTCACATGAGATTGGATGAACTTAAAGCTGGACTATTGCTGACTGTGGCATAGATATGTCAAACAAAGCTCAGTATTCAGAGTGTGATGTACATATGGTTAGACAGAATATCCCCTATGTAGCCATGGTATTTTTAACAGTGTGCAGCAAGCCTAGAACAAGCTTATCAAAGAACCACTTTCAGCAATCATTTCTCTACCTCAGTGTCTATCATCATACAGCGTTATGTATTGACAAGATCGTCAGTTTACCCGTTTATCAAAATCTGTCATCTTTCACCACTTAGGTATACAACATGTCAGCTGATATCTTAACATGAACCATAGGTAACAGACACAGCCTAGTAACATATTTGAACATTTTGGTGTGTTGTTATTAAAAATGTGGCATTTATTGCTCTTTAAGATTGGGAACATTCCTGTCGTGATAAGATGTAATTTTCATAAGAAAAACATACAAGAAGGAAACATCTTATCCTATGGAGACATCTCTAAAGTGATCTTGTCAAATTGATGACTTTACTGTAATAATATACAGATTTCTCTCATCACGGGGAGTCTTTACATGGGTTCTGTTATGGACCCTTTTGTTGCATCAGTAAAGATTGATAGCCATTTTATCATATACTGAAACAGAATGATGGCTTTATCGTAATTACATCACTCTGGTGTTTAGGAATGGCTTGGCATGTTAGGTGTGTCTTATCTGTTGGAGTTGGGTGTTTTTATAATATCACCTGTATCAACACTGGTGGTAGGAAGAGTGTTGTCATCAATATAGAGTAGCTCGGATGGAGAAAATGTCTGCAAATTGGTTTGAATATTTAGGTGTCAGAAACTTGGTTCATCTTTTTTAACAGTTGTTACCAGGGATTTCAGCTAAAATATCATTTGGGACTGTAATTTTCTGGTATCCTTGATAGTGTGTAACAGAGTCATTCTCAAAATACATATATGATCTCCAGTTAGTGAGAGAGTCTGAATAATAAGGATGCCACTGATATGTGCTGCAAAGTCCTTGTCACATAAACTACCTCGTCAGTATAATATATCCTTGACAGCAGCTTCCCTTGATATATTTGAATGCGAGACTTTGAATGTTTCAGGTGTACAACCATCAACTTGAACTGAACCTTAGATTTACCGATGTGGCACTACCATGTCCAGGAGACAGAAAATTAACATTTTATTGTACTCGTACTTCGACAAGTCAAACTATTCTTCAATAATAGAATCAAATTTTCAAAAATCTGTTTATTGTGAAAGTACATTTTTCACCCAGTTCATCTCACCGCCACATTGTGTGGCATTAAATGGTGGCTGACAGTTCCATTCATCCTGCACATGGTGGTGTCAAATCCTGCTCTTTGATGAGTTCTGTAGAACCTAGTACAAGCCAAGTTAAGAAAACAGTTGTGATAAGAAAGATATTGTCAAATTTGTCATACAGACAGCAGTAGACTCTGGACAAGAAGACTGAGTCTGCACTTCAACAAGTGAAAATATATAGGCTTCCTCATTCTTGATACCAATGGTGTGTTCAAATGCTCAACTAATATATTTGCATGTGCAGGAGAGAGGAGGTCAATGAACCTATGTCTCCAACTGAACAAGAAGCAGAGCCTGAGCATGAGAATAGACATAAGAAATCTGCCCCGCCCAAACGATTGTCATGGAAAACCATTATCAAGAAAAAGTATTGAGATAACAGAATTAGATAGACATTTATCAGCTGCAGTTAGAGACATATTAACCCTATTTCCCTTCTTCACTTCCCATGAAGCTGTGGTGATGTAGATGGGGAAGTCATGTACTGCTTGAAGCTGTAGAAGCTGTACAGCTGGGGTAGTCCATCTGTTGCTGTAGACCAGATATCAACATAGCTTAAGTAAATATTAGGGCTTGTTTTGCTTTTTCTCTTTTTTTAAATAAGAACTTTAAACAATTTGTAGTTTTTTTTATTTTTGCTTTTTCAGAATTAAATAATTCTTGTATTTTTGCTTTTTAAGCAAATAGTATTTTGCTTTAATTGCTTTAAATTCTTTTTTTCAGAATAAGGATTTTAGAGGAAACTCATTCAATTGACAATTCTCACAGTGAAGTCTTTTATGCATGAAGACCATGTAGCTTGGGATTTTAACACAAATCTCTGATTAGGTTTGAGGTTATCGTGTCATAGTCAGAAAGGCCTAATCATTAAGAATTATGGTCTTTTAAACACTCTTGTTATTGCTGTGAGACATTGTAAAACATCCTTACATCCTTACATTACAATGCTTACATTGATGTTGTAAACAGTCATGTTTTTATGAAGATACATGTACTTAAATAATGTATGTTAATGTGTTTAGCAATTGCAAGAAAAGGTTAATAATGAGTTTTGAAAATAAGCAAACAAGATATTATTTATGTAAACTTGTGGTTAATAACAATTTGGCAACAAAGCCATGTATTTTTTACGGCATTATAACACAGTGAAAGTGGTGAGTGAGATTTACAAATGGAAATATCACATTTATCAGCCCCTAAGGAACAATGTCAGCCAGTTTTGTTGATCTGGGCAGGGTTTTGCTGGATTCCCAGCTGAGGAACATGTTGTAAAATCTGCAGCTGGTTCTGTAGATGCTGTTTGCCAACAATGTAGTGTCTTGTGTGTATTGGTGATACTACTTCCCTGACAGCAATCCCCACATGCCGCATTAAGCCCATGCCATGTCTGAATTATTGTTTTGTCTCGACCATCATGTTTGTGAGATTTTCATGTGATGAATGTCAGAGAGACAAAGTTAGATTCATCATTTATTGATTGAATATGTTAAAGGTTAATTTTAATTGTCAAACTGATATTACTAAAGGGGTATGGCATGGGATAATTGACAAGTTTGATTATGAAATTTGGTGATGAATATGAATCTTAGCAGATAATGATTACACACATTCACAGTGTCTTGGTTACATGCTCAGTACAATGTCTGGACCTAGGAAACAGACAGCAGCCACTGAGCATGGCTCCACTCTTAGGCCTCAGCCCTTCCTACAAGCACTGACACATCACTGCTTCTTTGCCAGCTATGACTGAAGCTTATATTGCTTATTTGCTTTAACACACTTTAGCCTGCATCATGTCACAGTGTTATCAACTTCAGTTGTTACCTACAGGGGGCAATGGAACAGCCATTAGGATCAAGGAGCTCTGCTACGTACGCTATAAGTCTGATAATAGTGTCTGTGTCAGAAGTTTCAAGAGTAAATATGCCATGACCCACCTTAGGATGGTGTCTTCAGTTAGATTGATATTCTGATATTTATCAGTATGTATTTCATTCCTATGACTATGAACACAAAGTGAATCTTGGATATGCTGAATGGTTTAAAAGATACATCCTTGTACATATACTACTTATGTTTTGCATCTAGCTGCCTTACGTTTCTAAGAACTTATACACCAGGATACAATGCTTTTATTGATTAAGAATTTAAATATTGTTGGTAGTACGTGCAACTTGTTGCACTCTGATACCTGTAACTGATACTGAGCTCTGTGTTTATGTTATAAAATTTGAAAAGTTCTGTATTATTGGATTGATGTTGTCCTTGACTTCGCTGTCATGGTATGACAAAGACAGACCAATTTGGTTTGTTGTTTTGATTTCTTTTTTTAATTCTTTTCCTCTTGCTACGTTTTGGCTAGGCTCACCCGTAAAATTTACATAAATTGACCTAGCCAACAAATTAAAGTTAACCTACAGGACTTGTTATGATATACAAAGAGAATAATCAACTTGAATTCGATTTATCTTTTCTGTCAGAATTAATGTCATTAAGTATTAATGCATAAGCTTGCACCCATCTTTATAACCCTATAACAATCTCCTACATAACCCTGTACCTCTCTCCTACATAACCCTGTACCCCTCCTCTACATAACCCTGTACCCCTCTCCTACATAACCCTGTACCCCTCTTCTACATAACCCTGTACCCCTCTTCTACATAACCCTGTGCCTCTATCCTACATAAACCTGTACCCCTCTCCTACATAACCTTGTGTCCCTCTCTTACATAACCTTGTATCCCTCTCCTACAAAACCCTGTACCCCTCTTCTACATAACCATGTACTCCTCTCCTACATAACCATGTATCCCTCTCCTACATTAACATGTTCTCCTCTCCTACATAACCCTGTACCCCTCTCCTACACAACCCTGTACCCCTCTCCTACATAACCCTGTACCCCTCTCCTACATAAGCCTGTACCCCTCTCCTACACAACCCTGTACCCCTCTCCTACATAACACTGTACCCCTCTCCTACATAACATTGTATCCCTCTCCTACACAACCCTGTACCCCTAATGTACATAACACTGTACCCCTCTCCTACATAAACATGTACTCCTCTCCTACATAACCTTGTACCCATCTCCTACATAACCTTGTATCCCTCTCCTACATAACCTTGTATCCCTCCCCTACATAACTCTGTATCCCCCCCCCCCTGCATAACCTTGTATCCCCCCCCCCCCCCCCTACATAACCCTGTATCCCTCTCATACATAACCTTGTATCCCTCCTGCATAACCTTGTATCCCTCTCCTACAAAACCCTGTACCCCTCTTCTACATAACCCTGTACTCCTCTCCTACATTAACATGTACTCCTCTCCTACATAACCCTGTACCCATCTCCTACATAACCTTGTATCACTCCCCTACTTAACCCTGTATCCCCCCTACATAACCCTGTACCCCTCTCCTACATAACCCTGTATCCCTCTCCTACATAACCTTGTATCCCTCCTGCATAACCTTGTATCCCTCTCCTACATAACCCTGTATCCCTCTTCTACATAACCTTGTACCCCTTTCCTACATAACCTTGTATCCCTCTCCTACATAACTCTGTACCTATCTCCTACATAACCTTGTATCCCTCCTACATAGCCTTGTATCCCTCTCTTACATAACCCTGTATCCCTCTCCTACATAGCCTTGTATCCCTCTCTTACATAACCCTGTATCCCTCTCCTACATAGCCTTGTATCCCTCTCTTACATAACCCTGTATCCCTCTCCTACATAACCCTGTATCCCTCTCCTACATAACCTTGTATCCCTCCTACATAACCCTGTATCCCTCTTCTACATAACCTTGTACCCCTTTCCCACATAACCTTGTATCCCTCTCCTACATAACCTTGTACCCCTTTCCTACATAACCTTGTATCCCTCTCCTACATAACCCTGTACCTATCTCCTCCACAGGCGCACCAAGGCTCAGCGTGAGCGCGAGGAGAAACAGAAGGAGGAGGAGATCCAGGCTCAGCTGGCCAAGGAGGCAGAGGCTCAGGCTGCTGAGGAGAACAAGCCCTTCACCACCCCGGCCGACCCCGCCCTCTATAAGTACATGGAGGACGTCATGGATAAGATTCAGCCACTGCCCACCACGAGGCTGCAGGTGGTGGCACTCGCAGAGTACGTAGTTGTCCTGATACACTGTGTCACGTATTCCTTGTAGAGACAAGAGGATCTGTTACAGATTGGCCTCATAGGCTGTGTGTTAGAAGAATAGTATCATGTTTTGTCTTTGTCTTTGTGAGAGCAATGATTATATGACAGATGTAATTTGTTTTCTATTTTGCTGCACATATAAACTTATGTGTGTTAGGTGAATATGATACTGTGTTCAAAATTTCAGACAAGCCAAACAAATACATTTTGTCTATCTGATTAGGGGAAACTATAAGGATAAACTGTGTTTTGATGTGGCTATGTAGAAATATAATAAGTACACTATATATCTTGTGAAGGGACAGTGGGTCATATTACAAGTGGCTTACATGTTGCAGAAAGTGTACTGTATTTCTTAGTCAGTCATACAGACACTGAAACAAATATATCTATTTCAGCCCAGGAAAGTCTATAATAATTTGCAAGTCTAGATTACTGCAGTTTCAAGGTCTGAAATTGAAAAGTGTCTCTGGGCTCCTTCTTATTACTTTTTATTAAGATGATTCAACAACTGTCCTTTCTGTGAAATATTTTCATTTCAGAGACTAGATGTTAATCTGTTTATTTCTTAAATGATTGTATTTCCTGCCAAACTGTCATTGTGATGAGCTATGATTGCTTGTGTGGTGGCAGGTACGTGGCGGAGAAGATGGGAGGGCCTATAGCGAAGGGGCAGGTGACAAACTTCAGCTGGGAACTACCTCTCAGTCAGATCAAGTTCGAGCTCAAGTCAAATGTTGTCCCCATCGGCAAGATCAAGGCTGGAATCCATGTGCACAGAGCACTGCTCTTCAAGGTGAGATCTCAGAGCATTAGCATATGTCTTACTTTGCCAGGTCCTGGTTCCAGGGTAGCCTGGTGGTTAGAGCATTTGCTCGCCATGACAAGGGCTTGGTTTTGATTCTCAACATGGGTACAATTTGTAAAGTATATTTCTGGAGTTCCCTGTTGTAGTATTACTGGGATATTGCTAAAAGGTGCGTAAAATCTAGGGCTGTTACGATTCACTCGCGTATTGTGATTCAAACCGTATCCCTTCATGAACTGAATTCTTTATTCGTGGGCACAAGAATCGAATATTTATCCAAAAAATAAAAAGTCTTTTTTTCTACTAAGAATATCCATAAGAACTTATTATATACATATGTAGATTTCTTCAAAGACAACACTCATATATATTTTATTTGACAGTAATGTGGTCACTGGTCATTGTCGCATTTGAGCAGATAATATAGAACCTTGATAAATGCAGTATATAAATATATAATAATAATCATTAACACTGTCAGCTTGGTCAAACCATGTCAAATAATTTATTGTTTCACTGAATATAATAAAGAATACATCAACTGTTGACTCGTGAAAAAATATTTGTATTCGTTACCCTATGCTTATGATACTGTCTTATTTGCCTTATCATGTATTTATTGCACCCCTAGTAAAGTCATTCTCACTCACTTATATCACTGTGCAGAAGACTTGGAGAAGGGTAGCCCAACAGTCAAATGGTTCTCTTGCCAATCAACTGGGTTTTACTTGTATAGCCCAATCACGGTGTCCTCCCTCTACTGCAGGTCTACAGCGTGATTTGACTGTAGGAATTCACTTGTATATCTTACTGATGAGGATTCAGAACCATGGTCTCTTCATGATTAGTTGATATTCGGGATTATTCATAGTTTCATGAGTGTCCTCCATTACAGCCTACCAGAACCACATTCAACTCTTGGGAGTAGAAAGCATTTCTTGAAAAAGTTACGTTTAGACCAGGGAGAATGGTGACACAGTGTTTGAAGACTATAAGCTTGTGTTTTGTTGCAGACACTGGCTGACCGTATTGCTGTTGGATGTTCCCTGACAAGGGGAGAGTACAACCGAGCCTGGAACGAAGTCATGCTACCAGAAGAAGATGAAGTGGTAATGTCACATTTCTCACCAGTAATCACTGATAATGATGAAGTTGTCAAATAGGTGTGTGTGTGTGTGTCTTGCTTGTTAAATGCCCATTCAGCACTATTCCAGCTGTATGATGGCTGCTTGTAAGTAATTGAGTCTGGACCGAACAATCCATTAATTGATATTATGGTCAACTACACTGATGTGCTGTCAACCAAGTCAACGCACCTGACCATCCCATCCATTGGGTTGCCTCTTACAACCAGTATAGGTTACTGGGAACCAACTGTAACCCAGGATTTCGACAGGTTCCTAACTTAGGCACCTCTTACGACCAGCATAGGTTACTGGGAACCAATTGTAACCCAGGATTTCCACGGCTTCCCAACTTAGTCACCTCTTACGACCAGTATGGGTTACTGGGAACCAATTGTAACCCAGGATTTTCACGGCTTCCCAACTTAGTCACCTCTTACGACCAGTATAGGTTACTTGGAACCAATTGTAACCCAGGATTTCCACAGCTTCCTAACTTAGGCACCTCTTACGACCAGTATAGGTTACTGGGAACCAACTGTAACCCAGGATTTCCACGGCTTCCCAACTTAGTCGCCTCTTACAACCAGTAAAGGTTACTGGGAACCAACTGTAACCCAGGATTTTCACGGGATCCTAACTTAGGCACCTCTTACGACCAGTATAGGTTACTGGGAACCAATTGTAACCCAGGATTTCCACGGCTTCCCAACTTAGTCGCCTCTTACGACCAGTATAGGTTACTGGGAACCAACTGTAACCCAGGATTTCCAAAGGTTCCCAACTTAGTCACCTCTCACAACCAGTATAGGTTACTGGGAACCAACTGTAACCCAGGATTTCCACGGCTTCCCAACTTAGTCACCTCTTACGACCAGTATAGGTTACTGGGAACCAATTGTAACCCAGGATTTCCATGGGTTTCCAACTTAGTCACCTCTTACGGCCAATATAGTTTACTGGGCACCAATTGTAACCCAGGATTTCCACGGCTTCCCAACTTAGTCGCCTCTTACAACCAGTATAGGTTACTGGGAACCAATTGTAACCCAGGATTTCCACGGCTTCCCAACTTAGGCACCTCTTACAACCAGTATAGGTTACTGGGAACCAATTGTAACCCAGGATTTCTACGGCTTCCCAACTTAGTCGCCTCTTACGACCAGTATAGGTTACTGGGAACCAACTGTAACCCAGGATTTCCATGGGTTCCTAACTTAGGCACCTCTTACGACCAGTATAGGTTACTGGGAACCAATTGTAACCCAGGATTTCCACGGGTTCCCAACTTAGTCACCTCTTACAACCAGTATAGGTTACTGGGAACCAACTGTAACCCAGGATTTCCACGGGTTCCTAACTTAGTCACCTCTTACGACCAGTATAGGTTACTGGGAACCAATTGTAACCCAGGATTTCCATGGGTTTCCAACTTAGTCACCTCTTACGGCCAATATAGGTTACTGGGCACCAATTGTAACCCAGGATTTCCACGGCTTCCCAACTTAGTCGCCTCTTACAACCAGTATAGGTTACTGGGAACCAATTGTAACCCAGGATTTCCACGCTGGAGACAAATTCTACCCCATGTCCGTAAAGGTCTTTCTCTGGTAGGGGTGTGCGAGGGTCCAAAGAGAATCAGGGATGGGGTCACCTGAATGTGACAGCCTTGAGGCATGTGGCATAAAGACAGTTATGCAATTTTTAGGGAGAGTTTATAGAAATAATGGACAGGGGTTTAACATTGCGTTCTGGATTATTGCACTGATATAGCAAAGTGCATGAATGTCTCTGTGTGTGTGAGTGCATGACTGTGCCTGTCCTAGTCCAGACTAATACCGGTTTTATAGTGCTCGCCCACTGAGATAGCATGTTGTAATCTCATTCAAATCAGATCTTAGTTCTCGCTATGGCTAAACAAAGATCAGAAGGCAGCTTTCTTTTGTTTTACAGCACTAATTTCAAATTGGTGACTACACTTCGAAACATATTTTGACAAATTCTCAATTACAAATTTGAAACCTGAACAAAAGAACATTTTTGAAGGGTTAATAGATGGTACAGATTGTATTGATTCAGTCGTTAAACCCGTAACTATCGTTTGGAATACCCCGTGTTAAAGTTTTCGGGGTTGCATGATTAGAAATCACATTCCAACTCTCACTTTCATAATCTGGTAAGCGACGCTCTGATTGGTCTGATGAAAGGTCGTTCTGACGTGACCCCTTATGGGATGTCTTCAGATCTTTGTTTAGCGGTAGCGAGAACTAAGGTCTGATTTTTTATGAGATTGAGCATGTTGCAGTTTAACATGAATACTCCATTCATACACGTATACTGAACCCAGCCAACCAGTCTATATTTTATCCCCTTAATGCCGAGTTCCAGGAATGGTAACACCAAAAACCATCATATAATGACTTTTGGAATGATGTGGTTGGGGATCGATCCACCATCCCTTCCGCTCTCAGGGCAGATGCTCTGTCAACTAGACCATGCTGTCTCAAGAAAGCTGAAGTGATGCTTCATGGAATATTAGACACTTCATCAATTCCAAGGGGTTCTTGCACTGATTGCTTTACCTTTATGATATTCTGTGCGTGTTGATTCTGAAATCAAATTTGTATTTACATATTTTAAGGTTATTTTTCACAGCTTTACAGGTCTGAAAAATTAAATTTAAAAAAATTGATATAGATGAACAAAGGATAAGGTCTGAAGTCTCTCCACATGTTCCTATGTTAATATGAACCCACAATGATTTCTTTTAACAATTCAACAAGTTTATTCCATATAAGCTGCATGTTCATGAGTAATGTACATGACTATCAATAAACAGGAAGAAACGGTTTACAGTGTTGAAGAGAGATATTCAACAACAGAGGCATGTTTTGCCTGGATAATGTACACAGGAAACACACATCTTAAACAACTCCCTAGCACCAGCCTAATGATGTGATGCTATTTTCCTAACTACTCACTTTATTAGCATAACTAGGGTTGTAGTTGTAGGGTTGTTTGTTTATCAATTGTCGGCTCTCATATCCTATGCTGAAAATACACTGCATATCTGACTGCAGTATATTCAATATATCTAGTTTGACAGGAAAGGAAGTGTTTAAATATAAACACTATAAAGTGCTTTAAGAACATACATTTTTTTGTGTCAGCTTTTGACAAATGAGTTTGGTTAAGCCCAGGAATTTTGTTTTTTTTGGTTTAAGTAGAATGAACATCCAGCTTCACCCAACCAGTGAAGATAATGGTCTAATCTTTGCATGGAGCATCATTCAATCACTGTTTTAACAATAAGTGACATAGACAATTTCAAACACTTGCTCTCATCACTCACTGCCTTTTATGACACGAATGTTTTGTGTGTGTTCCAGGCCGGTGGTGCCAGGTATCCTCCGAAGCCCTACATAGTTGATCTGATCCACGAGCCAGGCAAACTCCTGCCAGTCAACACTCCCGAGGCTGTCAGCTACCAGAAGTTGTAACTGTTGACAGTCACTGATTGGTTTCACACCTCCCACTTGCCAGCCAGAAGCTACTAGGGGGGCAACTGCTCATTGAATTCTCTTTGCTTTTTTTGTCTTGATAACTTAATGTTTGTAAATCAGTTGCAGACCTCACCTGTTAGATACTATAGGAGTCTGTATCAGGTTTGAGAATAATTTGATATTTTTTTCATCCCTGTTATCTTTTGGAAAATTAGACGAAGGATCAGGAATGGGATGTTCTAAGATTTGGTGGACTGTTAAGATTAGCATCATTATATAAATCATGTTCACTCTGTAAATGATATTTATAGCATCTTTTTATGATAAGAGTCATTATATGAAAATCATGTTCACTTTGTAAAAGATAATACAATCATCAACATAATCAAATTTCACACATTTCAATTGTGATATGTGGATAGACATTGAATCAAGGGATTGTATTGAGGCAGATATCAGGAATGGAGGTGGGGGGGGGAGCTATTGTGAATGATTTGCCAAAATTATGTTGACATGATAATCAATTATCCGAAGATGATTCTGTTGTGATATGAGTGTGATGTAGAGGTACCACATGGTTCTTCATCTTTGCTCTGCATCGCTTCGGACAGTTGAGGTCAATCAGCAGTCTGTGATATATGTCATGATTTAGATGTAACAATATTGTACATAAAACAAGCATTACTATAACTACACATGTCTGTGCCAGTGGGTTTTGTCAACATGTTGCTATATGTAAATACTGGAAGTATAAAGTGTTTTGTGATAACCTGTGTATAGTGAACTCCAGCTTGTTGAAAATCCGTCCAATTGTCATTGTGTACATATAGAAATTGAAATGATTAAATATAAATTCTTGAAGCTTTGTTGTTGTTGTTTTCTCATGCAAATATTATCCAAGATCACAAAGTTGATGCAACTCTGATGACCCTAAACTGAGATGTTGACCCTCACCTTTTAGCTCACCTGACTGTCATGGCCTCTTTGTCTGTCGTCCAGGGGACTCAATCCTAAATATCTTCTCAGGAACTACTATATTAATGAAGCTAAAATTTCCCATACTTGTTCCAACCAATGGTCACACCAAGCAAGAACCAAACTGACTTTATAGTGCCAAGTTTTAGTCAGCGTGATAAAGTTTGAGATTGTGCTTCTGTTGACATTTTCAATTATTGAAAAAATAAAATAAGGACTTGGACTGTGCCTGAACAAATATATTAATGATCATTCCATTTATTCTGTAGAACTTTACTAATATACCATATATTTAGTGTAGTACCTCAAATAAAATCAGAGCAATGCATTTGAGAAATGTATGTTCTTGTGGCATGGAGTCTGACTGACTGACTGACCTTCAAATCAGGGCTTGTGAGCTGGTTTTGTTGTTATACCTACCAAGGAATGTGTACACACAACAATAATACATGTTAGAGGTGTAAAATAGCAACTTTAAGGCAACTGAATTGAGATAACTGTGGAGAATATTGAATGTACTGATACTTTCCCTTGTAAGCCTGATGACATTTGAGTACTAACATCAGCATTAGGTGGAAACCAATGTTTATGATCTATATTCTGAATGTAAGGAATTCTATGTGTCTCAGTGCACCACCTCTAGACTTGGGTATGGATACCATGGTATGTCATTGACCACTCAGGTGAGGCCGACTGTGTATTACAACGGCCACCCAGCTCGTCTGCAGTGACAGATCTAGAGGTCTACAACAGCATCCCTTACAAAAACAGCAATTGCAGGATTGCGAAGGAGATCTGACCAGATAGTCTTCCTGAGGAATATCTCGGAGCCAGTTGGCATGTCAGATGTGTTTTTGACGCAACAACATCGTCAACTGAGACATCAGCAGTGTCAATCACACAATATATTGCCTAACCAGCAATGGAGAACTGTTTAGTTCAGTGAGTCAATATTTATGGTTCTAGTTCATAGGAGAACCAGAATGTACTGACGCTATGAACTGCATACGGGAGGGACAGTTTTAACGGTGGCAGCTAATGATATGGGCAGAATTCTATCACACTGGTAGAACCCCCCCCCAAAAAAACTTGGTAAATGAGGAAGGCAATGTAAGGGCATATTGCTATTGTAATCCTACAGCCGCACGTTGTTCCAATCATCAACCAAGTTCATATTTCAACAGGTCAATGATAGACCGCGTAAGAGCTGCATTCCCACGTAACCACAATGTACAGGTTCTCGCGTGGCCGTCGGAATCGCCAGCTTGGAACCTGATAGAAAACTTATCGGCATGCAGTACTTGACGCTAATGGTGGCCACACAAGATGTATATATGCATGACCATGACATTTGTCCTGTATGTCGACACTCATCAAGTGTTTAGATGTGCATTGATTACTTCCTACAACAAACATCTGGTTGAGCGTTTCTTTGAATAATTACAAGTATTGTGAAATCAGCTTTTCTGTTGGTATTATAATACGGTAAATCTCGGCCAGGTTAAAACTCCTAATACTTGTCTTTTGCCTGGCGTGTGATTTGTTCTGATTGATAAAACTGCCATTGTTCACCAGTGATGGTCGGCGGGATGGACTGATCTGAATTACAGGTGGGTATCTACAGCGCCAACTATATATTCCGTGCGTGCGTAAGTGAGTGAGTGAGTGTGTGAGTGAGTGAGCGAGACTGTGTGTGCGTGGGTGCCTGCGTGCGTGCGGGTGTGTGTAGGACGAATTTGGCGTATTAGCCAAAACATAAAGCACTGACGCCGCTAGCACACATGTTAAACTAATGATCGAATGATGTTAAACACCCGTCGCATATAAAAAGACGGTAGTAATGCATGGTGTTATGATTCTTAATTGTAAACAACTAAGAAACCATCAATTTACAGCAGATACCAACAATGATGTGTATTTGAGTTCCGGTTTTCGTCCATTTCAATTTCGCCGACTCAGATGATAAAATTGATTTTTAGTTAACGTCCATATGTGAATCAACTCACAGGAAAGCCCGATGTACATCGACAGTACATAAGCTTGATTGTTAAAAGGGTGCATACGTCTGACAGAAACCCCTGATACCATTCCTGGAGGGCATTCACACACGTCGTGAAGTGAGCTTCCTCTTTGATTCAAATAGATATTGCTTGGGAAAGGGTGTTGGGTGAAGAAGAATCGTTGAAGTAGGGAACCCTAGAGAGTGACATTGTCGCGTTGTCGCACTGTTGCCCTTACAAAAACAAGCAAATAGTGTCGAAATTAACCAAGATCTGAGAATGCGGCAACGCGACATTTGTAACAAACATTTGTCGTATTGTCGCTCTTTGAAAATTTTTTTTTTACTTATACCTTGCGACAGTGAGACAACGTGGCAATGTCCCTTGTAGGATTCCATTAAGTGGGAAACACTGACTGAAAACATACTCTGTCTCCCCTCCTTTACCCTCCACACACACCCACACACACACACACACACACACACCCCCCGCCCCCCCCCCCCCCGCCCCCCCACACACACACCCCACCCACCCCTCATACTATGGAAATTCGTCAGTAAGACAGCAGCTGAAGTTTGGAGTACCACAAGGATCTGAGTTAGGACCTATCCTTTTCACAGTATATACCCTGCCAGTCGGACACAACGCACTGAGTCATAACCTACAATACCAACTATATGCAGACGTGTGGCTCCAAGCTATATCTAACCTTCAAACCAAAGTGTGGTCTGTCCACCAGAAATACCTACACAACTGTAATGAGTTTGTGGATAGCATCAGAGAATGGATGGCAACGCAACGAGTGAGTGGGTTTAACACCGCTTTTAACAGTATTCCAGTTATATCGCAGTTATATCGCGGCGTGTCAGCTTAATGTGGGAGGAAAGCCCAAAGTGATGCAGGTCTCAGACGTTTACAACTTCGGTGAAAACGAGCACGGGTATGGTGCTGACAAACCTAGAAATATAATCGGGGCGAACCGGGATTCTAACCCACAATCAGAGGTTTCTGGCGTAGCCAAGGGACACAACTCTGCACGGCGAATCGTGGCGCCATAGACGACTAGGCCACTCATGCCCATCATGGATCCGCTCTACAGCTTGGACAAGCATATCACAGTCATATGCAAATGTGCATATTACCATATCGGACAAATCAGGAAATATGTAAACGTCGAGGCTTCAAAAATGTTGATCCAAGCTTTTGTCATCTCCAGGTTGGATTATTGTGAATCTCTCCTCTATGGCCTCCTCCCACGGAATGATGCAGAAAAAACTACGGCGTGTTCAGAATACAGCTGCAAGAATTCTGACAAGAACACCTGAGAGAGAACACATCACTCCAATATTGACTGAACTACACTGGTTTACAAGGCAATGTATAGTTTGGCTCCTGCATTCTTACAGGAACTGATAGTACCATACAACCATGCACATTCTCTCCTATCAATATATCAACATCTGCTAGTGGTGCCAAAGACATGTACCAAAACAGATGGCGATAGGTCATTTCAACACTTTCTCTTTAAAAAGACACTCAAAATCTGTCTCTTAAAGAGATCCTTTGACCAGATCAATCATGCTCTAAACGCATTTGAGCAGTTGTTAATTGGAAAATGCGCTATTCAAATTCTTTATTCTTAATTAATGGTCGTTTTTTAATATGCTTCACCCAATAACCTTCCTCGCTAAGTGCACGAATCAGTTTAAATCCTTATTGTCAATAACAGTTTCCTAGCTACTAATGACAGGTAATTCATGTTAAGGCTGCAAACATCTGACATTATTGAATTCCAATTATTTCTTCAACAATTATTTTTTAACTTACTTATTAGTTGTTCGGGATTGATAGACTGTTTGATCGGGGACAGTTGGCTACCCGAGCCCCAAGTGGTACTGTCAGACAACGTGAGCGTTCTTTAAAGTCAATAGCATTGCATAAAAAAGTAAGCGTTTGTAAATCGGATGATAGTTGATCAGAAAAGAATACGTTTACAATGCAACCACGATGACATGCAGGGATGAAATGTAGAAGAAGGAATAAAGCAGAGGAATGGACGGAAAAGAGGGTAGAGAATGCATGAAAGTGTGTATGTGGTAGGAGTAAGTGAGTATGGTTTTACGCCGATTTTATCAACATGACATCAATATCACAGCGGGGAACACCAGAAATGGGCTTCACACATGTACCCATGTGGGGAGTCGAACCAGGGTCTACGGTGTGACAAGCGAACGCTTTGACCACTTGGCTACTCTACCGCCCCAGTATGGGGAAGGAATTAACGAAGAAATAACTGTGGGTTGTATCAGACACGCACTAAGTCAAACTGGTTTATATCTCGGAATATTGTTTGTTGTTCAACACATCAGTATTACAGCTGTGTGACTGTGTCCTATAGCTAATCGTGTCTGGGTCAGACAAACCAGTGATTGATGTTATGGGGAAAGATCCACGCCGTCGGGGTAGGATGATATGCAATCAACCGAGCCGGATTCCCCGACCCGTTTCACCCCGTAAGACAAGCATGCGTAATAGAGAAATCAGGAGAACGTGTTCATGCTACTTCAAGAATCAAAGGATTCCCGTACTTAAACCATATTATGATTGATATATAATTTTGCATAATAACATTAAGTTGCATCAGTTTTACTTGTTTACTTTTAGGGTTCCCTGGATTCCCTTGGATTGCTTTGAATTTCCAGCATGCTTTGGTTGCTTTGGATTCCCTCTTTGGTTGCCTTGGGTTGCTTTGGATTGCCTTCGATTGCTTTGGAATGCTTTGGAATGCTTTGGATTCCCTTCGGTTGCTTTGGGTTTAGTTGAGTTGCCTTAAGTTTCCTTGGATTCTTTTGGATTGCTTTGGATTTCCTGGGTTGCTTTGGATTC